GCGCGAGGCCCTCGAGCAGAACAGACTTCAGGAGAAACTGATGCCGGAGGTGGTGACATCGAAATTGAGGAGGATGAAGAGGACATGGGGGGCCAACCTTCGGAGGCGAAGAAGCGCCGAACTGAGGTGCGGAACATCCGTGATCAATTTGAGAAGTTGATTGCTGAAGCATCGAGTGTTCAATATTGTTTCATTTGTGGTGGAATGCATGACATTGATGAATGTACCACACCAGATGACGAGAACATGAAGGACACTTTATGGCGCATGAGACTGATCATGGACCAGAAGTCCAAATCCCCATCGTCTTCGGAAAGATCCAAAGCTGCGACAAGAGGCAGAAAAGACAAGCTCCCGAAGAACATCATGCCGCAAGGGAAACGTTGGGGAAGAACCAGATTCACTGAGAAAGAAGAAGTGACCAAATGCTTCTACAGTCAGTCAGCCTTCATGTACGACATTGGTGACCGTGAAGAAGGCGGACAGTACTTAGTGAATGGCATCGAAGTCAGCCCAATTAGCCGAGGTGTGAAGAATCGTCATGAGCTTGATATGCTTATTGAACGAGCAGCTGAAGAATCCCCGCCTGTATTGCCGACCATTGAGGAGCTGAACGCTTGGAACCCCAAAGACCATGATGCATACGTAAAATGGCTTACTGAAGAAAGAAAACAGTATGGGGACAACTGGAATTTCAAGTACATCCAACCATTCACACATGGCCACAACATCGGTACACTTCAACTTGCTCGCATCAATGGAGAAGAATATCTTGGATATGGATGGAGTAACGTGAAGCGATATGGCGAGAATGAGTGGATGGGCAACAAGTGGGAAAATCCGCAATGGATAGTCGAATTGTCAAAGAGATTCAATGCAGCGCTACGCCACTCCGTGGGTTGCGTCAAGGACAATCGAAATCACCGTGGACTACCATGCGATGAAGCAGGTTGGGTCAATGTCGAGTCGATCTTGAAGTACGACAACATCTGGAGAGACAAACATACATTGGCTGGAACGACCCGCGTCAACTACCCAGTGCTTGTTGAGAGATGGAACAATTTCCAGAGAGTGATCTTCACTGAGTACAAGCAGACGAAAAGAATCCGAGCTCAAGTGCTAGGACTCAAAGTCACAAAAGGTGAATTGGAACACGTCATGAACAACTTCAATGATGGATTGACCTCGAGACTTGAACGACACACGCTGAGGTTGGAGATCGGCACAGCAGATCGAGAGATATGGCTTTGGCCGGTGGCAATCCGAGCCCCTATGGCCAATTCGAGAGTTCAAGGCGGTGTGCACATCGAAGACAAGAAGACTTCCTACCAGATGAACCCAGGAGTCGGATATACTCTTGGAGGAGGATTTCACTGCACCACTTTTGACAACATCGCCCAAATCTTCAGAGAAGGACTACGTCCCGGAGGAGGAGGCGACCGCATCAATACGTTCTTCGTGCCATTCGCACCGTGGGACGTGCGAAGTCAGACGGTGCTGCGATTCAGGAAGATTGATCAAACTGATCTTGTCTACATATACATCACGTACGATTCCATCGCCAAGTTCTCCCCTCGATTATCGGCAGACGGACACATTTTGGTCCAAGAGACAATTCCTTTCGAATCATTCGATGCAGTTTGGTACTACGATTGGAAGGAAAAGGACTACTACCGTCTCATGATCACAAAGGGAAAAGATCAGCTTGTACTTTCTGTGCAAGGAGCAAGGAGGGTGGCCACCATTGAACGATTTGACAAACTCATTGGGAACATTGTACCTGATGAATCATCGCCCGATCTGAACGAACTTCGAAAGCTTGTCGACATCAAGACCGGTCACTTCAGTCATGCTCGCAGATTATTCCCTGGACATCCGGATTGGAATGATGCAATATCACTTTTAGCAGTCACTCATCATCCCAGCAAGGAAGACCATCGACTATGCCCCGCATGTCTGATGGAGACCCCTGCATCACTATCGATTTGTGTGATGTGCAAAGGATTTTTGGTCAGTCATGGATGGAGGAAGCGAATCAAGATCACCGTGGCTACTGTACCAAATGCCGAATCACGTCCTCGAGAAGAAGATCTCAAAGACCATGTCAAGAAAGCATGGGAGGAAGTGAAAATCGATTTGACAGGTGAAGATGATGACGACGAACTGATGCAAGATGATGATGACGTCACCATGAAGAGTCCAGAACAAGAACCTCAACCAGAAGAAGAAAATGATGATCAAGCCTCGAAGAAAGGCGACATCAATGATGAGAGAAGAGACTTCAGAGAGCAAGATGAGGTCGATAAATTTCTCAATGAGGAAGGAAAACAAACCGATGAGAATGACGATGAAGAGAAAGAAGACGGTGAAATCAACATTGAAGAGTACGAGGCCGGAGAAGCTCATGATGCAGTGATTGAGTACCCCAAATGGCTGAAGAGGGTTGAGTTTGGATCAAAGGTCCTACCAATCGAACCATGTACAATTGGAGATGCTCAGCCGGAGCTCATCAAAATCCTCCTGTTACAGATTGGGTTGCACATCGTCAGGATCTACAGACTATTCCAACGGAACTTCTGTGGAGACATTGAAACGGCATGGCAACACTTTCAACAGAACCAGAAATTCAGGATGGACTTGGATTCAAGAGTGCCATACCTAGGTGAGGATGAAAATGGTGAACTCATCGAACCAACTGCACAACAGATGAAGGAGCTATACCAAGAAATCGGCCGACCACAACAAAAGGACGACATCGGGGAAGAGGGATTCGTCAATGCATACTATGGGGCAGTGGTACTCAAGCGACTTCTCGTATATACCCTTGAATGTGGTTACACATATGAAGACTTGCAAAATATCTTCTACGACGAAGAGATGGAGAAACTGTCGAAACGTGACACATCAAGGGATGAGATGAGAAAGACCACAGCTGCCCGCGAAGCCCTTGACCGACAAGACGTCATGGTCAGAAGAATCATTGCAGGTGCATACAAGGTGAATGCTGTTTATTTCTTCAGGAACGTCGACTTTCAAGACACAATCACATTGAACCCTGTCGACATAGTGTGTGCTCTTCGACCACCACTTCGAAGAATATCAGTTTTGCATCTGATCCTTCAAAATGGCCGACAATTGCCACGACCTCTACTCCAGAAGCTGTATGATGCGATCAATGACTATAACCACATCAAGCAACGGGATGATCAACGACCAAGATGGGGCATCCACATGTCAGAAGCCCACCTGGTCGCGATTGCTGATACCCCGGTTCCTGCCGATCGTGAACGGGCTAACCCGGCAGCTGGCAAATCAAAAGCAGCCCCGAAAGCAGCACCGACACTGGGCAGAGTGTCAAAAGCGAAAGCATCATCATCAGCAACGTGGAGAACCGTCGAAGCTGCTCCTCCGCCGAAACAAGCTCCAGTACCTCCGCCACAGAAAGGTGGAAAAGACCAAGGAAAAGGTGAAAGATCTTATTCACACCGTGGTGGCGACTGGAATCATCAAGGATACTATGGGTGGGGATACAAACGATAAGTCGACATGACCTCTGCATAGGTCCTGATTGAACCTGGCGAAACGAGGCAGCAATCATTGCTCGAGATTTACCTCTACTTCATTTCGAATGATTTTTGAGAGGACTCTGAGCCGGCTAATTTAGAACCACATTTTTTTTGAACATCATTGCACGAAACGCTGAGTTTCTACAGCGGTCTACATCTCAACCGACGAAGGAACGGGGAGGTAAACTTCTAGTTCCATAGTCATCTTCGTATTTCGATTTTATTTTCATGCTTGAGTGGAATTCCATGCTGGCTACGCCACATCGGATGAACCTCAATGCTGTACATAGACTACGTCTTGTCAGCGTGCATGTGAACAGAACCTTTATTTCATTTTTTTGTAGAGATCGTAGCAAGCCGCATTGTAGATATGAAGTTCTGAACGAACATTCAACTCTCTAATTCAACAAATGTAAATTGCAGAATGGGAGGTTTAAACTGGCTCTCCTGCGCGTGACTGACAAAGTCAGTCATGCGTGGGGGGTGCGAATGGGGACTATACCACAGCGTACAATAGTAACCCCATGTAAATAGCCATGTACCACTCCAGCCAAAGGGTCAACCGCAAAACCCTTTGGCTCAAGCCACCTTACTGCAATTGTCCGAGCAAAACAGAAAGCCATGCTGAAGCTGTGAACTGGACATCATTGACCCACACGAGAACAACCCGTTCCTATACCATCAAGAAGCACATATCGGAGGAAATCTCCGATTCACAAATGCAGTATATCTACATATATTAATAAAAAGATCCCAATTTTTGAGTGGTTAAGCCCCCATGATCATTGCCCTTCACTGCTCCGGAGTCCCGGAGGTCTCAGTACCAGCCCTGTCCGCGCTTCTGGATGTGCGCGTACCCGTGGTGGAGCTCGAGGACGGGTTGGGCTGCCCTAAGAAATTGCCATAGAAATGGGAGAGAACCATGGAAAAATGATGGACAAATGACGATGATGATGATGATGATGATGAGGATGAGGATGAATGATGATGAGGAGGAGGATGAGGATGAGGATGAATTATGAGGAGGATGATGATCCCTTTATTTGAATGGGAACAACTATGGAACCATGATGAAAAATAAGGATGATCATTTGTTTAAATGTCGAAACCTATGGTAAAACCACGCGCGGAAGAATGATGAACAAGTATGATGATCCCCTTACAATCATTAGAATTCAGGATGCTCCATTTTCAGAGGAAACAAAATCAAAACCCTCTTGCTTGAAGAGGCTGACCGTCTCCATTCTGCCATGTCTCTTCCTTAGCGACAAGGTTGCCTTGGGGCTTGGAATTCATGTGCATTTCTTTGGACAACCCAAGTTGTTCAACATCTGAAACTTTGAGCTTCATGTCAAACCCGGATTCATACATCCTGACCATTGTAGATAATTGGGGGAGTTACTCTGAAGATGGTGATGAAAAGACTCTGAGGTCATGGCTTTACACCGCGGTTCAGAAGTTGCAACAGCCAGGGGCACAGATGCCATCCCATGCCATGCAGGCGTCAGTTGGTGTTGCTGGGTTTTGGATGGTTTTAACACTTGTGATTCAAGCTGAATCTCCGATCAAGGCAGCAAGTTACGACAACTGCTGACGTCCAACACCTTCAGGCGTGAACATGGAGCGGATCTCAAGCATAGATCCGTTGGGTGCTCATTTATAGTTTCTTTTAGATTTTGTAGCATCCCCATTTGAGCATGATCAGAAATTGTGCACTGGATCTCCCTGCAGACAGCTGCGAGAATCCACTTGCAGGAAGAGCTGCGAGCCAAGCCTCCTGCGCCAGCAGGATCCCCAGTGGCTGTCTCCCACCACGGCTACACCAAGCGTTGGATCGATGATCGAGGTGTCTGCGCCTACAAATGTGTCCGAGGTGCGAAAATGCATCGCTGAACCAATGTTTTCCGCCAAAATGGGGATTGATCAATATCTATTAATATCTATGATAGCCAAAAATTATGAATAATTAATAATACCTATTACATCGATATACATCAATTATATAATCTTTTGCAGGGATACATCCCCATTTACAAGCTATTTTGGGGATTCACCAGGGCCGCCAGGGTTTTGAACCATGACGGTCTGCTGCCAGGACGTTCAGATGATGCTTCGACAGCAGGAACAGCGACGTTTGGGCGACGTTTCGCAGATGGAGATGCGCTTGGGAGCTCAGCTGAGTGGTTGATGTCTCGACCAACCCGGGTGGTTTCATTAAGATCTACTGTAAAAGATTGTAAAAGAACATCCAAGCCGTTTATGTGGGGATGATTGGTGATGATTTGGGAGTGACTTGTTTCAGTGTCGAAAAAGCCGCCAGCGGTGAGATTGATCGGCAAACTGTTGATTTCAGGCCTGCACGGCTTGCGCGCGTCCATCGACGGATGCCTCAAGAGTTCCGACCTTGAGGCTAGCTGCTGAAACAACTGGCAACCAGAAGCAACCAGCGGCAACCAGCGGCAACTGGTTGTATCATGTCTGGCATTTGGGGCGAACAGTAGCACTTGGTGCAGGCGTTGCGGGAGCGACTGACGCGAGAGCTAGATGAGATAGCGCGGAGATGCAAAGAGGAGGGCTGGAAGTCCTGGCCAAGGTTCTCCAAAGTTCTAGATTTAAATGGCACCTAGAGCAATGCCCAATAATTAGTATCTTTTGGACTTGTCATCCATTTAAATGCACACTCACTTCAACTTTGAATTGGGTTCACAGGAGCTTGCGTCCCTCGCAAAGTGGCTGCAGACGGATGCAGCTGCAGAGAGACAAAAGCAGCAGGTCGAGTCGGGGTCAAAGATTTTTGTTCTCTGTGGAATAACGATGATGACAAGGGGGTATACCGTACGGTATACCACAAAAATGTTTTTTTTTTTAAAATAGGGAAAAGGATGAGAAACAATCAGGATTTAGGGGTACACTATTTTTTGACAAGCCTACTTGTTCATCCAATCTTGAAGGATTAGGTTTGACAAGTTCTTGGATGAGCTAGGTTGTCTAAATATTAGATCGTGTACCTTTTGCTACTATAGATAGTGTGACAAACATGGAGATCCCATGGGCCGATCCACCGCGCTAGGAGAACTTCCAGAAGCTTCGATCCAAGGCACTAGCACTTCACTGTCGACAGGATTAGAATATGGGTTTGTCTGTAAATAGTGTACCCCTACACCCAATGGTTAATGATCATTATCCCTACTAAATGGCTATAATTGGGGGTATACCGCATTTCCAGACATACCCATATGTTGATTTTGATTTTGCCACAACAGCAACAGGAAAGAGCTTGGAATCTTTTGGACACGTTGGAACAGGTCGAATCGCACCTGTCTCTGGTGGAGTCTGGCAGAAAAGAGGTGCCTTTGTCTTCTTGTCTTCTTCCTGCCCATGTTGTGGAAACATGGCAAGGAGTTTCTGACAGTGCACACCTGAAAGTACGAAAAAGCCACGGGTTTTCAATCCACATCCTGCCAGTGGTTCGAACGGCTTCAGGCTGCAGAGCCTCGTCCAGCTAGCAGCCAGGCTGATCTTGCGCACGCAGGATATCAGGAGCAATGTTTGACAACTAAAGTTGACTTTGATGATTAGTTTTCCTGTTTCATCAAATGGTTCTCTTCAGGAAGCAGTACTGCGTGCTTAGGGTTGTGCCACAGGGGGCTAAACTGCCACCCAGAAGACTTCTTCTTTGATTGCCGTGTCATTCTGGAAGGGGTCTTCCAATTTTGCAATAGACCCACAAATGCAAGAATCGGCTTTATCATGCTTCATCATTTATCATCATATTCCCCAGAAGATCGCAATAAGGTGGGGGTACAATATCAAAATTATCCAAATTTCAGGCAAACCCATGTCATTCATCAACGATTCTGATAGGAGCCCCTTGCCCCAGCTGAGATGCGCTCGAATGAACCCAGGCATTGGAGCAGCTCCGAGCAGTTTCACATCAGATTTTTCTTTATTTAATTCATTTATTCAATGGATGCGACAAGGATGAATCCATGTTTTTTTTTTATTTTTCCTGGAAAATAGAGAGGATTTTATCCAGTTGAGCAAGGTCAATGGGATGAAACGACGAGTGAAAATCCATAGCAGAGTTTTGGCAAAGCGTTCACCTCTGGCGGTTGCGAAGAGGCAGCCAACTGCAGATGACTTGGCGCTGAGGCTGCCTACTCAGACGGCTCTGGTGCCGAACATGGTGGTTTGAAGATGTTTGAAGCATTTTTTTCTTTGCAAGCCTGCCTTTTTGAGATGATAATCCCCAATTGACTAATTTTCTTCGAGGGAATGAAAGCCACCAGTAGATTACTGCTTATATGGTATCTTACGGTAATCGCCATCCCATTTTTTGTCTTTGAAGTTACTGTACATTCTGCTGTACCCGTACTATACCCCTACCTTCCACCACGACGGATTTTTCTTTAATCAAGGTCCAGAGTGGCCCAACTAGAGTCTTCAGTCAAGGAGTTGGACAAGCGCCGGCATCTGAGATTTCTCTTTTGCATTGGCCTCCAACATTGGAGGGTTTAGTATAAGAAATGACCAATTCTGTGGGTCCATTGGCATCCCATTTTTGAGCCATCGCTATCTATGCATGGCAAAGAAAAAGATAAAGCCCTCATTCTTCAGGGATGAGCATCACACGGAGTACTTCTGTGACCCTTTCGAGGGCTTCTGTTGGCATGTGGATGTTGTGAAAATCTTGAAAAAGGTGTGGGTCTACCGGGATACCCATAAGATGGCCATGGGATTTAGGGGTGCCCTATTTTCTGACACACTGATACCAAACCACCCCCTTCTCCTTCGCGGTGTGTTTGGCTTGACGCATCTGAGTCTCCATGGTGCTTGCTCCACCGCCCAAAGGCCAATCCTTGTCAAGTTCCAATTTGAAGATTCGTGTGAAAGTGACAGACCCCCCAAACAACCTCCACGAATTGTATTTGCACATTCGCCGCAAACACCATGTATCATATATATATATATATATCATATATATATATATCATATATATATATCATATATATATATCATATATATATATATCACATATATATATATATATATTATATATCTTACCAACATTGCGGCAATCATTGCGGCTCAAGTAAGACAAGTGCTTTAGCTGCTAGCTTAACGCCTGAAGATCCAGGGCTGTTGGGAGGTCCCTCCGAGATCGATCCCCAGATCTTACAGCGCTTCACAGAGGTTGACAAGGACAGGGTTGCCACTTGCTGGTTGGTTTCTTGGTTCTAACAGGCTGCAGAGTTACTCCACATTCACAGACGTTTATGACATGTGATGGACTCGCGTTGGTTGATTTGGCATTCTCCATGCGATGCCAGGCACACTTGTCCAACATCCAGCGTTTTTCAGAGGCAGCAGATGACACAACAGTGAGAATTGCGATGATTCCATATACTTTTGTGACTTTTGTGCCATCGTGGTTGAAAACCAACTCGTTTGGTTTTGTGTTCTGCTTCCACCTATTTTGCATTTTTGGCCTCTGTGGGCAGATTGAGCAGCGCTTGAGCCGCGTTGAGACCAGTTGGCGGCTGAGTTCCCAACCCGCATTGATTTCCTTTTGGAGGCAAAGGATGGCAAAGCATGTCTTGGGGACTTTGGGGTCACTGAACCAAGGTTGGGGGACATGACCAATATCTGATGTTAAGCCTGGATTAATCCTCATAGCGTTGACAGTGTTGACAGTGTTGACAGTGTTGACTGATTATCTTGATTACCTCATATAAGATATATAAGTAGCTGTATCGATCTGGGCAAATCCCAAAGTTGGTCCTGAGGTGTGCCAGCGGCCATGCCAAAGGCCAAGGTTCGAGGGTCGGGTCGTGGTCAATGATCTGGAAAATTGGATACCCCAATACTTGGATGGTGAATACAAAAAATGGACAAAAGACGGCCCATATCTATCTCGGTTTGGGTTATGCACTGCTAATCCAGCCTCGTTCATTTCCTGCTGCTGTTCGACGTTCTCTCTCAGGCTGGTGGTGACTGGCAGGCCAGGTCCTGCAATATCTTTTGGAAGGGTGGCGTCTCTCTTCACCACTAATGTGGTAAATTCAATATTGGGGATGGTTTATCATTGAGTTTACTACATTATCAGATCGTGGGCTCTACAGGCTCTACAGACTTTGTTGTATTGTTTACCGCTAAGAACAATGAAATTGGTCATAAAGACATCCGACATTGAGCTATGCTGAGAACAGAGAAAGAGTCTATTGGCTGCAATGCCAGGGCCCTCTGAGCGAACTCCAGTCCAGTCACGCATCTTTGGCAGAGGACATGGCTGGAATAGGGAGTGGTTGGACCATGTTGGACCCCATCATCTCCCAGAGCTCCACCATAGCGACAGGAATTGCAAGCTTCTGCTGGGGAAGTCTCAACTCTGTGCGATCCCAAGCGCTGAATGTCAAACTTCGATGTTCCAAGTGTGTGTCTGGCAAGGATGTCAGAAACTCTCCTGTGAACCGCTAGGCGTTCCGCTCTCACGGAGCTCACCAGATACATTTCGGAGGATCATTTGGAGGCCCAGTTGGCGGTGGCTTCACCTTGTGAAGCTTTTGTCTGAGCCATGAGCGAAGAGGTCGCAGCAACAGCTGCGCCGCCTCCCAACAAGCTGGAGTGGCTGGAACGCCGTCCCTGGCCTTAGAGGTAGAGAGGTGAATACAGACCAAGGCCCAAGGGTTTTGATGCCAAGACACATTTTGAGACATTTTGAAAATGTCTCAGCTCATGTGAGCTTTTTGTGACGGCTGAGGAATCAGCCAGCTGGTGGCCAAACGGAATGGTCCATCCATTGAGGTGCACAGCGTGGTGCACAGGGTCAAGATAGGTTGGAAAATGTTGGAAACTTCATGCGAAATGCTGCCAGAAGCGACTGCGGCTACTGGAAGAGGTGACCGGCAGCCAAGAGGCGAGACTGTCTTGGGATTGCGAGGCTTGTGGTCAAGGGCCATCCTATCAACAGCCCCGCCAGATCTTTCAACGTGTGCGCAGCCTGGAGCAGCTTCTGGAAAAGCTGGATTTTGATGCTGTCAAAGAGGCTTGGTCGGGAAGCTTTTGCTGAAACGGATCATCCTGGCCATGGTTTTGGAATCTCAGACCCTAAGAAATCTACATTTTAGTGATCCATTTCGGAAGAAAGACTATTGGCTTCAGATTTGACTGGGAGCTCTGAATTTCCTCTGCCAGGTGCCGCCTCAGCTGATCATCGTCAAAGAAGATCAGGAGAGTCCTTCATTTTTCTTGATTGAGGGATAAGTGGGATAAGCTGGTGGTCAAGGATGGTCAGAATCAAGAATGACAGTCAAAGCACGTCGAAGATATTGACCTTTGGATTGCCATCATAGGATCATTTGATCCCTATTCCATCCCATTATTTTTAGTATTTTCCGCATGTTGTAGTGGCATATAGTGGCAATAAATTGGGCAAATCAATGTAAATTGCTTCATTTTGAGGCACACTTATCTATATGCACATCCCGAATTCGGTGGTTAGATCATCTTAGATATGCTTAGATCATAAGTTCGATCCACATTTTTCTCCAATTTTGGTGATCCAGCGATTTCACAACAGGAAACCTTCAAGCTGGACCTTCGCCGCGAGGTTCAGGAGCTGAAGGTCCTGGTGGGATGCATGGAGGTCCGCAGAGTTTCACCAAGGTTTCACCTTTTTTGGAAAGGAGGACACAGGACTATCTTTCACGGAAAAACACATGGATGTCGTTTTCCAAAAATGACTGAAATTTGGAGGACATTTCACTGAAATCTGACACTTTCTCTTTGAGTGTTGATAATGTTGACATTTTGAGCGCAGGCTTGCGTGCCCAAAGAGACCAGGAAGGCAATCCAGCTCTTCAAGAGAGGTGCCGGCGTTTCTGACGAGGCTGGGTGCAGCGATCGAATGTGGGCTACCATGGAATCACTTTGAAAGATATGAACCAAGTGTGATGCAAACTGCAAACATGATGAGTTCCATATCCAGCACTGCGGTCAGTTCCAAAACTTACTGTCGTTTTTGCATGATGCTGATTCCTGGAATCGTGACTGCAGCACTTTTAAGATCAGCATCCATTGGATAGCATTGGAAGCTGTGAAGATGGTGAGCTGTTCGTTTATGGCGCTCTTTCCCAGCCTTCTGGGCCTTTTGGGCTTGGCGGGCATTGGGCACCACTACTATCGCCATGGCCATGAAGGCTTGGGATGGCATGGCCACCACGGCCACCACGGCCACCACGGCCACCACGGACAGCACGAGCATTCGGAGATGATGCAGAAGAAGTGTGACGAAGGCTTCAAGATCATCAAGTGCCACAGGCAATGCGGAGAGGACATGCAGTGTCATGACAAATGCCCACTGCCAGAATGTCCCAAGATGGCAGCCAAAGTGAAGGGAATCATCCAGTGCAATGTGGATTGTGGCTCGGACTTTGCCTGCCGGGAGTCTTGCAATCGCCCTGTGAAGAAGTTCGTGGAGATGTGCAGCATGAAGAAGCCGGACTTTGAGCATTTCAAGCCGCCCCCAGCCCAATTCATTGTGTCAAAGTTCCGCACTTGCAAGAAGGAGTGCCAAGGTGATACTGCATGCATGGAGAAGTGCCCAAAGCCATTCTGGATGGGATTTGAGAAGACTTGCCAAGAGGCTATCCCCATTATGGAATGCCATGGGGCTTGTGGCCACGACCACGGATGCCATGTGAGTTGCCCACGGCCAAGCTGCCCTCACATGAAAGCACAAGTGGAGGAGACCCTGGAGTGCCATGGACAGTGCCAGGACCGCGAGTGTCATCAGATGTGTCCCAAGCCGATGAAGAAAATCCTCAAGAAGTGCAAGGCCTTTGAGGAGGCACAGCAGTGCCACAGCAGATGCACTGATTTCAAGTGCCACCATGAATGCCCCAAAGCTCGTCTTTGGAAGTCACGCCACTTCCAGCATGGTGGCTTCGACCACCACCATGGTGGCTTCGACCATCACCATGGTGGCTTCGACCATCACCATGGTGGCTTCGACCACCACCATGGTGGCTTCGACCATCACCATGGTGGCTTCGACCACCACCATGGTGGCTTCGACCATCACCATGGTGGCTTCGACCATCACCATGGTGGCTTCGACCACCACCATGGTGGCTTCGACCACCACCATGGTGGCTTCGACCATCACCATGGTGGCTTCGACCACCACCATGGTGGCTTCGACCATCACCATGGTGGCTTCGACCATCACCATGGTGGCTTCGACCACCACCATGGTGGCTTCGACCACCACCATGGTGGCTTCGACCATCACCATGGTGGCTTCGACCACCACCACGGTGGCTTCGACCACCACAATGGTCGCTTTCACCAGGGTGGCTTCCAGCATGACAACCACCACCATGCTGAATTTGGTGTGGTCCCGCTTCCCGAGGTTCTTCCGGTCACACCAGGCCCACCAGCCATCATCCCCATGTTGCGCGGATCCATTCCGGAACCGGTTGAGCAGGAGCAGCTCATTGACTGCAGCATGAAGTGCCAGGATGATGTGCAATGCCTTGAAAAGTGCTCAGCTGCCTGGGAGAACTTGCAGAAGGAGTGCGTGGAGGTGGCTGATATCATGGCCTGCCACCAGAAATGCCAGGACGCTGTGTGCCATAGCAGCTGCCCCGGCCCCAGGGACCCATGGCTCAAAGAGAAGGTTGATGCAAACATGGCTTGTCACAAGGAGTGTGGTGATGATGGTGAGTGCCACCAGCACTGCACGTGCCCCTTCAAGGAGATCAAGGAAAAATGTGCGGAGCTGGGCCCCAAACCAGGCAGCTGGAAGATTTTGAACCCCACAGAGGTCACAGTCTAAGACTACAAGCCTGGGCTTTTCATCTTCCAGGCTCACCGGAAGTCATCACATTGACTTGTGGTGGCCATGTACAGTGAGGGAAGTTGGCAACGCGCCGCTGTAGTGAGCAGCACTGTGTGATTGCTTCTTTCCAAGTAGATAGCCAATCTTACAGACCCTTGCACATTTTCTGGTTTTGCCATTACCTCTTTTGCTCTGGAGCAACCAGTGTCAGCAAAACGATGGGAAATTGTGCAACCCGAACAAAACTTTGCAGGGACCACCAGCGGCATTCCTGTTAGGCATGGTTCTTAATACGATATGTATATATAATATGTATAATATGTACATACATACATAGAATATCATGTATATATAATGATATATATAGTTATATATATATAATTATATATATATATGGATGTGTATATATATATACATATTATAATATTTTATAATATATATATATTATAATATATGACCTTGGATATTTTGGGATGATCCCTCAATTGTCAATTGACCTATTTGACCTCCCATTCCTCAGGAGTTCATCAGCCCTCAAGAGCTGAAGACTCATACCCAGCTAATCTCCATGCGGGAGGACTGTGGGCAGATTTTCGTTGATGTTGGTAGAATCAGTAGAATCTATAGTGGTTAAAATTGGTTAAAGATCAGTCTAACTTTATGTTTCTTTTTTTCCCTAAGGAAGGGTGTGAATATCTTGAAGGGTTGTTCCACTTCGAAGCGGCAAATTCACGAAATGCGTATGGGCTTTGTAGAGAGGAGATGAAGGTAGTTGAAGGTATTCCCTGCCAAAATCAACACAATCAAGGCATGCAAGCATAGCTTGTTGTTTTTATCCGAGTTTTCAAGCCATGATGCTCATTCAAAGACGAACAATCAACTAACTCGGAACTAACGAGCACGTGATGCTGCGCGGAAATGGTTTGTTCCAGTAGGTCTTGACGCCTGGCAACCCCAAGTCTTAATGCCCAAGGTGTCCGAGTCTGCAGGAGCTACAAGGTCAGTTTTCAGAGATGGAGATGAACGCTGTGGGGAGTCGCAGATTGCGGTTCTGGGAAGTCCTCGATCGTTGGTTTACCATGTGTTAGTTTATCCTCAAACTTATTTGGAGAAATTTGGATAAACTAACGTTGTAAATTTGGATAAACACAACTTAGTAAATTTGGATAAATTTGGATTCTCACTTTCTTACTAACGTTGTGTTTACCCGCCACCATCCGAAGAAGTACCATGGGCGCTGGGAATTCATCCCCAGGTCGTTTGCAAATCCCACGAGTCCTAGGCACAACGCTACGACAACATGAACGCTCAATTGCAGGAGTTGGAGATGAAACAGGCGAGTAGGAAGGGTGAACACCGAACACCCAGAAACCATGGTGGATGTAGTTTTTTTATTGATTCATATACACATTGACATATTAGTAAGGGACCATAGAAGGGGAATATCAGACATCCCTACCTATAGCGGATCATATCCCCATTGATAGATGGTACTGAGCTGGTTTCGTGGTCTTTGTTTCTTGCAAAGGAAGCACTTGCCATCGCTACATATGCGAGGATGAACCCAACTGGGTTTCATACTTTTCTGATTGGTTGAAATCGCCAAACAGTAGTGGGTCTGCCCACGTTGTGGCCAAGTATGCCTGTCATGTTTGAGATAGAATATGCAAATACATACATGTATATATATATATATACACCCACAGGCACCTTGTGTTGCCCAAGCCCAGAATAGCGTAAATTACAAGGATTTTTTGTTCACACTACACATCTCATATAAATTCTCCCACCCCCGTTCAACTTCTACATTCATTGAAGATTCTGGAAATAAGGGTTTAATTCTCCCACCCCCGTTAAACTCTTCCATTCATTGAAGATCTTCAATCATCATCACCATCATCATCATCATCATCATCATGATGAATTTTTCCGGGAACGTCCCTGTAAATCTCCGGGCAACACAAGGCGCCTGGCCGTATATATATATATATTATACATACATACATACATACATACATATATCTCTTCCCCCATACCCAAGAATGGGAAACTTATTTGAGGATTGAAATGGGGGATGTTCTATCTACTTCAGTCAGGATGATAGCAAAAAAAGATTGAAAATTGACACCAATGATGCTGTTTCCAGAAGGTGCAGGCCTTGAGATAGATTGAAAGATTGCCATCATTGTTGGATAGATATAAAGATCGAGAAAATCGTGTCCAATGGAAGCTGACAGGAGAGGGTGGAGCATTTGATGAAGGGGAAATCAAAGTCTGTTGTGGAGGCTGGGTCCCAATTCGCTCTTTGACACGATTGCATTTTCTGCGCGAAAAGACAGGGGCTGAAGTGTTCCCAGGCCCCAAATCCCGATGGTTTTGTGGCGCCAGCGGGATGGCAGAGATGAGGAGCATGGCAAAGATTGCTGGTTTCCATTTTTCTCCGTATGTTTTCCATGGTTTTCCCATGGTTTTTCCTTCAACCAGATAAAGTTGTGAGCTGGAGACTTTGAAAGGCACCACAGTATTTTCTCCATCCAAAGAGGAGAGACCTTGAGTTTCAGATTGAGGACTTGAAGCGTGACGGGGCTATGCTAATGCTCCATGGGTAGGACTGAACCAATGTTTTGTTCAGCCTGAGGTGTACCCTTCAAGTGCTAAAGGGCACTTGGTTCTCACTAATCACTTGCAGGGAAGAGATTTTAGAACGCTCCCAACTGCCTTTAAAGCCTTGGACATCTCCAACTTATGTCCTTCGTGAAATGGTTTGTTTCCGACCCTGTGTGGTGTACTTCAATTGGAGCATTGCCATATGCTCTTGGACTGGACGTCGAAGCCGTCGCAGAAAAGTCGCGATTGCCGTGCTTGGCTGACCTAGAGTTGTTACTCTTAATCCGTTCCCCTTAATACCCCTTATTTGTTTCCCCAACATGAATAGATCATAATGGATCAAAGATTCAACCAGGATTTGTAGGCGGGTATTTCAGATTAGGGGAGATTGGATTATCCAATGCTCAAGTCCTTCAGGCCTTTGGAATCTGTTTGACGCATAGGCTCAAGGTCCCGGGCCCAGAAAGTTGTAAAGATCGGGGGACCGAATGGCGGCCTCCAGCAGCTTTGAAGAGCTTTGCCGCCAGAAGAATGCCACTTGGGACATGGGTCAACCATGGGTCAACCCATCAGGGACCTGGTGATCACACTCTCAAAGTATCTCAAAGTTGTCTCTAGCGGAACCGTGGAACACCCCTGAAAAGTGTTTGGAGTGCAGTTTTGAACCATTTTTGAACCATTTTTGAAGCATTTTTGAAGCATACCTTCACGTTGCCTCATCGCTCACATACCACGTGCCGTTCCCCGAGGTCGATCCTGAGGACTCGGTGGAGACCGGTACCGGTGCAGAGGACGGGGGTCCGACTGCTCCCTTGGCTCCGCAGGAATGGCGAAAATCTCTGGCAACGCCGATCATGGCGGAGAAGTGCCTGTTGGACATGAATGAAGAGGAACTGCTTGCCCACCACCAGCGAGTTCTAGTGCCTGGGCTGTGAGTTTCATCCGCTTTCGAGGGGGCATATTGGGAGTTGATAGAGGTGAAATGGTCTTTGATGGTACAGACATATTAGCGCTATTTATCGCTATTTAATTTGCCGCCCTATAAAACACATCAGAAAAGTGCTGGTGCATTGTCCAAAGTCCCTCAGGGTTCAGCACTGGCAGCTGACCAAGGACCGAGCCAATGCCACCAAAGAAGACCGTGCTCTATTGGTTCTGGAGAGGACCCAGGACAGCAAAAAGATCATCAAACATGAAAGGTGAGCTTGTCTGCGAACAGGTTACCATACAGGTTACCCCACAATTTGATGATTTTTGATGTTTCCCACATGTTCTCATTCAAATGGCTCAATCACTCTGGTTTTCCCATCATTTTCCCCAAACAAAGCTGCCATTTTATGGGTAACACATTGTCGGACGGAGGAGGGGCGACTGGAGCGTCAGGCCTTGAAGGCAGGGACCAGCTTCACCAACGGTGGATCTATTGGGGGTCAAAATAGTTTACCCCCATTGTATCATCTGGTTTTGTATAGTTTTCATAAAGCTTTCATAAAGGCTTCACATGGTTTAGCGAGATCGACCAACTTCTTGGGTGTCCAAAAGCCGCCCAACCTTCGTCCAGGTTTGGGCGCAACAGATGCGCGACGCTGAGCAGGTGAAAGCCGAACAGGTGGACCACCGGGATGGGAAGCTCCAACTCGAAGGATCTGCCGATGTCAGAGCTGGATCGAATTAGTGTCACTTAGTGTTGCTTAGAGCTTAGTAACATTTAGTCACATTTAGTCACATGCTCATGGCTTTGGGTCAGGTGCCAGAAATGCTGGAAAGCCTGAGATACGAAATCTCGAACAACGAGGCTTGGACAGATGGCATTAGTGTCCAATGTGCCAGTCAGGGGGGTTGGGTTGTGGGATTTTCTAGAACTTGATGGGGTGGCAAGGAATGCTTGGTGCAAGAAATCCTACAATATGAATAGTGATGATGAGAAATCAGGATTTTAAACCCTAAATTTTGGATACATTTAGTCGATATTCGTATCCTATCGTATCCTATTCTGGTCTATTCTCTGACCATTTTTTGGCATTCGCAGCCAGGTTCACTTCCTTCTTCATCAGTTCGGAGCCACCAAGGCTGCGGGAAGTATGACATAACAAGAGGCCTCTTCACGTTCTGCGTAGTGAGTAGTTTAATCTGTTGCTATAGTTGAGTATTTTTGTTACATAGTATATATATATAGATAGTCTATAGTATATATATATCTAACTTTAAACCGCGTAAAAAATGAACACATAAAAACATGACGTCTAAGATTCAGGTTGGTGATGGTTAAATCATTCCAAATGTGGATCTGTGCTTTGCGCCAACTTTTGATCTTCAGGGCTTGGACATGATTCCAGAGCGTGTGCTGAGTCAACACCAGTGGCTGGGAGCTTTGGTCCACCTTGATCCACGACCTGGTCCTGTGGTTAGACACAGCGAACCTCCTAAGGCTTTGGTTGGTTGGGGAGTGCCAGATTCTCAAGGAGCCCATTTTTGGGTTGTAGCGGTTGCTGCTGTGCTGCAATGTGTATATTCAGCATTCTGCTGACTCCAAAGAGCTCTGTTTGGGCCGGAGGAATCCTACAAGCACGTGAAGCGAGAGGACAATATGCCATGAGAAGCTGGAATATATCATTTTAGGGGTTGGGACCATTTGAGCACTGATTTGAGCACTAGTCAAGCATGGTCAAGCCAAAACTGATCAATTTTTGATCACAATACCAGTCGCATGGGATTTCTGACCAGTTGGATGATTCAAATCACCAAATCTCGCGACCAGGAGTGGGAAGCTGGATATGCCAACCATGTTCAGAAACTTACGCTCCAGGACCACTAAAACCTAGCCGTTGTTGCTGGTACAAGCGGGGGTATGGTGATTGTAACTGGAAACATGTTGGGTGTGAACAAATCGCCGTTGGAATCACTCAAGGCATGGCTTGGAATCAAATTTGGACATCGAAAAAATGGTGGTCAGGATTCAATTGATTCATTTGATTATAGTGACCACCATTTGAGTGAAATGTTGGTGTCAGATAACACCACCATATTAACTACAGATGACACCAACATCAAATTGGTCAGGATTCCATCCTCCATGTTTTTTGAAACCCAATTTGATTGTAGTGACGACTCCAGGATGCTGCTGGCGTCCCGGAGGCAAGTGTAGGCGTTGGGGGAGATTCTGCGGCGTCAAACATGGCCAGCTGGAAAATCAACAAAAAAAATAAAGATGTCAATGAGAAATCATGGGAAGATACGGAAAATTATGTGAACATCCGGAGGCTTCAATGGGAAAATCGTCTATACATGGAAGATTTTCCAGCTAGCCATGGATTTCCGGAGAGTACACAACTGTGGAAGCCCTATTTATATCTATTTATCAAATATCTCTATTCTGGAGAAGGGAGAAAATTGGACCAAGCTCCGTAGAAGCATCAATGCGCTGAACTTCTGGCATTTGGCACACTCTATCCTGGATATAGTCAAATCTTTTAGACCTTACCCCATCCAGATATTTTGCACATTCTTTGCACACCATCCAGTTCTCATCAATTCAGTTTTTTTTGGTAGACTATCCCATTTGATACACTTTTCTGCCATGTAACTAGCTTAAGCACCCCATGTTTGGGGGGTCAACAAGCGATGTGGCTGGTGGCAGGTGAGACAGGCTGGTGGTGGACCAACGGTGAAAAGGCTGGACATGCAGCGGCCTTGAAGAAGTTCGTCCCGGGACCAAGTTGTCCTACCGGATGACTGTTGTCCAACTAGGAGAGATGCCGAGTGTCAAGATGCATAGATTGGTTTGGGCAAACCACAATCAGTTTTCTTCATTTTTGCTGGGCAAATGATGTTTCAAGTCCAGAGGTTCAGGACTTCGAAACCGACATTTTCCAACGGAAAAACATCAAAGGAAGACTTCACTGAGTCATTGAGAGAAGAGATAAGACTAGTTGCCTAGTCAGCCTAGTCTTTCCATGGCACGGAACAATGACGAGCAGTCACCAGGGCAACTTTGTAGGTTTGTTCCAACATAACGCGAGTCCATATCATCTGAGGCCTGGGGAATGCAGCAGTGAACCTCAGTGGCCGAATGGATCCGAATGGTGGAAATGTCTGGTGCTATCCCAGAATTGGTTGAAGGGAAGATTTACACAAACCCATTGATATAGGTGTAAAAATAGTGTAAAAACCACTGTTTCCTGGACACTTTCTCTTAAACCAATATCATAGACATAGTTTATGATGTTATCATATCTGGAATATCCCTAAGTATATGCCGCTTGTCAGTGGGGTGACATGCCACATTTTCCCTTCAACTAATCCATTGACATCATCTCAAATCATCTCACATCTTTCAGGATGAAAAAAAAAAGATTCGATTCCTGCCTGCAAACTCACGTAGATGTGGAAACCCCACCCTGAATGCAGATCATTTTCTGAATGGGAAACCAGCATTTTTCCAATAGCTGGCCCGATGGACTAAGTGAAAAGGCCCGAGATCGAAGCTGAGCTCCTCCAAGAACTGGAGCTCTTCATTGGACCCAGGATCAAGGTGCCTTGGCGAAGTCATGGGGCTAAGTCTGATATTCCATATATGTTATGAATATATGTATATATATATATACATATAAAATGTCATGTGTATATATATAATACATCATGATACATATATATATACATACACACAATATATATATAATATAACATAATATAATATGATATGATAATATGATATGATATAATATGATATGATATGATATGATATGATAATATGATATGATATGATATGATGATATGATATGATATGATATGATATGATATGATATGATATGATGATATGACATTATATAATACTATATATATATATTATAATATATACAATATATATATATATATACATTTCCTATATTTGTGAAGCATTCATTTGATGCCAGCAAATACTGGTGCTTGCACATCCTGGCCCTTCGCATTCCATCTCTGGAACGATGCCAAGGATGCACCAGATGGCGTGAAAAGTCGATGAACTAGCTTCCTTGTGTGACAAAAAACCTCCGGTGCATTTGCACACTCCAAGTAGACGTAGTGACGTAGTGTGGTTCACAAGCGATTGAACTGCATCCTGTTCTGACTGGCAGCTTGCTTGAAAACACTTTCAGAACTGCAAGCCAAGTCATGCCACACAACAGGTGTTCCGCAGCTGTATTAAGGACAAGCACAAATGAGTCACAGCTTCCGTTGAGCATGTGAAGGATTGCAAGTTCCAGCAAAACCATTTGGGACAGCCAGGGCAGCCAGGACTGAGATGGTTTTCAAAACAGGAAACAGCACCTGCAGGTCCTGCAGGTCAACAAAAAAGGCCATCCCGATAGAGCCAGCGAGGCCAATGAAGCCAATCTTTCGATCCAAAAGGAAGCCAGCACAGCCATTTTCAAAATGCAGCAGCTTTCAGTGCACACGATTATTGCCTTGCCAGGTCCCAAGATGAACCAATGTATGCACTCTTTCCAATGCTTGATCAACTGATTCACCGAAGGTAGATCATTGACAGAGCTTCTCTCAGGCAAACTGCCTTGCTGATTTTCCTGCAGTTTGGAGAGAAGGCTGGGGGGTTGACAGGTAAATCTTCCGCCCCAAAGGCAAAAAGCACTGGTAAAACGATTGCGTCATAAGATCTCAGCAGCAAACTGCCAGGCTTTGCCTTCTCTTTTTGCTGCGCGAAAGGCCAAGTCGCACATGTTTGTAGGATAACTTTGATGCCCGAAAATGACGAACCGAACAATTTGTGAAAGGACACAAGCCCGCGTTTTGATGGGTATCCCCCCAAGTTTCATGGTCAAAAGTTCCCGTTTTTATGGTTGAAATCCCCATAGGGTGGAAACTGTGTCAGGCTTGCCATGCCGGAAGTGGTGCCCTGATGCTATTGCTGGATTCACGAGATCCAATTGCCAGGTGCCCCTGAGTCTTAGATGGGCATTCGGAATATTCCCTTTTTTGAGATAGACATTTGACATGATATAGTTTAATGATATAATGATATAATGATATAATGATATAGATTGAACTTTCCCAAGTGCAAAGATTCGCTTGAAGATTTTCATCTATAGTGTTCTCTCCTATGTTTTTTCCCCTGCAAAGATTCCTGGCGCAAGGGCCTTCATCTATGTGGTGGTGGTTAGCTCTCTGGCGATGACATGGCGGCTAGTGCCCAAGTGGGTCCAGCACCCAGTGATCTGAAAACGATTCGAGCAACGATTCCCAATGGTAACTGTTCTGGTAACCCATTGGTAAATTGATTTGTTTTGCACCTTAGTACCTTGATCCTTGATCAAGGTCCCAAGCTTCCGCTTCGGAGATGTCTACGATGTAGGTTGGGGACTGCATGGCCAGTTTTAGATCGTCATTTCGATTCCCTCTTCTTCAAAGATGATCTTACTTTTGGCATATTTTGGCAATGACTTGTTGACCATTTGCTGCCCTGTCCGATTCTGCAGGAATCTCAGTGTACTTGTTGATTGTCTTTGCCTGGTCTCGCCGGCATGTCTTGCTCCGCTGTTGAAATTGTGTAGAGTGTCGCTGTGACCTTTGACTCCAGGTTCTACCTCCAGCAGCCCGTGGCTGCTTTGGCACCGCTTTTTTTCGCAGATCCAGTGCCGTGCTCAAAATCGATGTGAACGCCTTCTGAAATGAAGGCAACAGGGGTCTTCAAAACATGTTCAAAATATGATCTGAACACGTTGCATTGTCCTACCTGTGAATACTTAGGCTGGAGCTGTGGTTGGAAAATTTTGCTCCAAGAGAGGCCAGGACCCAACTTTGCTGTCTTGAAATGTTCCTGTTGTTTATGGGTGTTTCTGAGGTTTTAATCGCGCATGGTGGGAGAACAAGACCATCATGGGGACTCCCTGGCAGAGCGTGGAAGGGTGATGGAAGAGCAACATGCGGTAAATGGTCAACAAATGTCAACAAATGTCAACAAATTTCTTAAAGTTATCTCGAATGCCTGGCATCAATCTGCTTTTGTCAAGACGAGCGGTGCGTTTTTGAAGGACCTTGGCCGTGCTGGTGGTGGCATACCTCAGGCGGCTGGCGAGGATCTGGGGACCACAGAGATTGCTGAGATTGCTAAGCTGCCAATGGGGCCCCAGTTATCAAACTGGTGCGGCTTCACCTTTCTGCACGGCCAGTTTGGATGCTCCCACCTATCCGAGGGTCTGGAACCTCAAACCGCCAAGTTGGGTTGAAATCAAATCACAACAGCTTCACGTTGCTTTAGGATTTAAACGTCGATCTTTTTTTTTTCGAGAATCCAAATCCAAGATGGAAGAGTATTTCCAGTTAGTTTGATGTTGTTTTTCCATGTTTTTCCATGTTTTTCCACCATTTCCAGCTTTCCAACTGGGGCGATGACCGAAAGATCCAGGTTCTGCTCGCTGTACTTTGCGCCTTGGCTGAAGCCTTTGGAGGTGCACTTCCCATCCCGAAGGGCATGGAGTTTTCAGGGATAATGATGATATCTGATCAGTGTCTATATCTATATTTATCTATATCTATATTTATCTATATCTATGTATCTATATGTTTGTACATATATAATATAATATATATATATATATACACATATATATATATATAAACTGATGCAACTGTTTTAGTAGCTTCCATGAAAGAACTTGTTGAGAGGCAAGACTTTTGACAATGCGATCATCGCAATCCCGGCCCTCGGTGGCTGGGCCAAGCTGCCATGGGTTGATGGAAGAACTGCTCTTGTGCCGGGACAGAGCTACCTTCACAACATCTGTTGAAATTTAGACACTGCTGGCTGCAGATTTCATTTCTTTCTTTGCTGCATCATAGGACATTCTTCGGTGACGAGCAGGGTCATGTCAAATACACTGAAAGCTTCACTTTGCGTCTTGCTCGCCAGGTGTACTTCCACGGATGGCGTTAAGAGAAAGAAGCTGTCTGTGCCTGTGGAACAGTTCAAAAGAAACTGACTTGTTCACTCTGTCTCACTTCCACTTCCTCTTTGCATTTGAGCACAGCATGGGCTCATGTTTTGGCTTGCGATTGCTTGGTGTTGAACCGGCTTGGCAGCCGTTTCTGTGGTGATCCGGCTCTCAAACCATGGACAAGATCCTGGTAACAGCGCATGCATTTGCACCGCTACAAGTCTTAGAAAGGGATGGTGTTGACTTTTGTGTCCAATTGGCAATTCGGAAGCGCTTCGCAGTCAACCAAAAAACATCTAAATTTACCACTGAACATGTCTGAACTTTAACTACCTTGTCAGCCTCCGGAATTGAAACTGTACCTGTACTTCTACTTCTTTGTTTTCTGCATCAGCATCGGCGCTATGGCCGTGGCCCTCAGCATGCGCATTCCTCAGGCGAGTGCGTGGCGCCGTGTCAATCCGGGAAATTGGGAACTTTGTTTGTGGGACTTTCACCAACAGAATGAGAGTTGAAGGGATTTCCTTCAAAAATGTGCAGCATGCGACTTGGATCTCCGTGTTTAATGAGGCTGGTGATACCTCTTGATGCAAACTTCAGACTCATGACAATGGACATCCACGTCATTCCAAGCTGATGAGTCCCAAAACTTTGCAGGGCGTAAGCCGAGCTGTTGAGGATTTGGCCGATGAGGTGCCCTGGATTCCTGGTCAGCCATCTTTTCTGCGATGTCCAATGACACCATGATCAGAATTCTGCTTGCTGTCTTTAGCACGAGAATTCCAACAACATTATACAACATTATGTTGTTGTTGGTGTTACTTAAGTGTTACTGTTGCTGTTGTTACATTGTGACATTCCAACTGCCACTGGATTCCAGGATGATTTGGATTTGCGCTGGCTGGAGGAGACCAGTGGAACTGAGTGGCTGGGTGGCTATTTGTCTTGGTATCCTGCAATACTTGAAGGTGGTATTCCAGCTAAAAGACCCAGGTTGCTGAAACTGGATGGTGTTCCAAGTTGTGTCTGATTTTGGTCCGGTGGCTCTTGCTAGTGGCTTCCATTGGTCTACCACAGTCCTGAAAGCCAACTCCGTGAAGCAGCTGCCTTTAGATCAGGATCGACTTACTTGGGCGGCCCGTCTTGGTGACGCAGCTCGGAAGCCAAGCTTGGGACATGTAATGGGCAGGCTGACAGACCATGATAAACCTCCAAATCCAAACCCCATGTGTGCCTCTTTGGGTTTGACAAGCTAAATGCAGGGTTGGCGCCCAAGCCCGGCTTTCCAAGCTGCCACTCCGAAGGACAATGGTTTCAGGCCACCAACGCCACAATTGTTTCCCTCCTGAGGCGCAAGCACTGCGTCTGGAGCCTGGAGCAACAAAAATTCACAGCGCCTTTCCTTCCAGCATGTGGAAGGTCAGGGAAGGTCCAGCCTGTGTATATATATATATTGTTAAGTAACAACATTGTCCAACACACAATTCGTGTACAGTTCAACAGCTGCTGGATGTCACTGTCAACATTATGGATCAACAGGCCTTGAGCCTGAGACTGTTTGCCAACAGTACAAAAGAGTGAGAGCGCACAGCATCAGCTGCAACATTGATTCAACAGAGCTGCCTGAATCTTTTCATGGTAGCGGAGCAGTGATCCTGGAAGCATCCAGGTGAGCTCCAACAGGAAGAGGGCTTGATCCCAGAACACTGGGGGACTCTCAACAACAGCTGGAGCAACAAAGGGTAGCAGCCCAACACACCACCACTGCAACGACAAGGTAAAGAAACAAACTCAACAACAAGGTGCGCAGGAAGAGGGCTTGATCCCAACTATACAGTGTGGGGGACCCTCAACAACAAGGATGGCGACGGCACATGAGATAGGATCGCCAACAGCAGGAGAAACACAAGCAGAAGCCCTAGCATCAACACACAGGCTGAAGTTGAAACCTCCAACATACGATGGAAACTACGCAACATTCGAGGAATGGAGGTACAAATTCTCAGCATACATGGGCCTACAGGACAACATCTTTCCACAACTGCTTTCAAGAGCAGAAAGAGCAACAACAGTGCTCACAGATGCAGAGCTGCTCGGTGCAGCCTCAACAATAGAGCAAGGAGAGAAATGGACACAACTGTGCAACAACCTCAAATACATACTCATTAACATCACCAGCGGCCCAGCAGCAACAATATGCAGACAATACCAAGACGCAATGGGCTTAGAAGTCTACAGGCAACTGTGCAACAGGTTTGCAATACCTGTTGGAACAAGAAGCATAGGCTACCTCACAAAGCTACTCAAACCCAAGTTCGACACCAACAACTTTGAGGAGTCCTTCTCAACATGGGAATTTGAGCTTGCACGTTACGAGCGTGACAACAATGCACAACTACCAGACCAAGTGAAGATAGCAGTTCTCATGAATGAGACAACAGGACCACTCCAACAACACTTACACCTCAATGCCAGCGCAACACCAACATATGCTGAAGTGAGGACAACAATCATGGAGTACTACAGAACCACAACTGCGTTCTCAAGACTTCAACAACAGTCGTCTTCAGCAGTCAGCAGTAACTTAGGAGGAGGCCCAGCTCCAATGGATATTGGAGCAACATACAAAGGCAAAGGAAAAGGAAAAGGAAAGAGCAAAGGAAAAGGATTCAACAAAGGAGGTCACAAAGGAAAAGGATACCACCAAGGAAAAGGCTACGGAGGCTACGGCAGTTACAACAAAGGAAAGGGCAAAGGAAAACAACAGCAATGGTATCAGCCAAAAGGAGTAGAGAAAGGAAACAAAGGAAAGTCGAAAGGAGCTCACAACAAAGGAAAAGGAAAGAATCCAACAGCAATATGCTACAGATGTGGTCAACAGGGCCACTTGGCAAAGGATTGCCGAACAGCGGTGTACAACATGGCAGAGACACCACAGGAACAGGACCAGGATGGAACATCCCAATGGTATGACCCAAACAGTGGGTATGACAACTACTGGTACAGCAACGACCAGTCAGGCAACTATAATATCCAGCCAGTCCAACAACAACAACAACTAGCTTTGCCAGCGCCACAAACCAACACGCAGACACCAACAATACAACTTGTGGGAGCACTGGGCCATCAGGCAGCAAGTGCCCACAATGAAGCAACCACCACAGCTCAAGCAGTGCAGCAGCAGAGAGGAGACAACGAGGTGGACGTTATGATCGACAGTGGAGCAGCAACACACGTTTGTCCAACATGGTTTGCACCAGACACACCACTGTATCCACTACAACAAGGACAAGGACCTAGGTTGAGGACAGCAACAGATGAGGATATCCCAGTGCATGGCTACAAATGGGTGTACATGCACAACACCAACAAGCAAACAATAGTTGTTCCCTTCTATGTGTGTGATGTGACGCAACCCATCATGTCAGTAACAAGACTGGCAGAACAAGGGTTCAACACACAACTTAACGAAACACCAACAATCACACACACCAAGGGATTCAACTCAGCACTCAAACAACGAGAAGGCCTATACTTCTTGCCAGTTGTGCTGATCACACTTCCAGCCAACTTGAGGCTTGAAGTCAACCAGACAGCAGAAGGAACAACAGCAAGAATAGCACCAGTCACACTGACTCCAACAGGCATGGAAGTCCTTCGCAACAAGAATGACCTATGGACATTCAACAGCCAAGGTTTCTTGGTAAGAGTCCACAGGACAACACGCAAGGCATTGTTCATGCCAGACACCAGATGTCCAGTTCCAACAGAAAGGTTGGAGAACTACAGAAGAACAATCATACAAAGACCAAACAACAACACAGAGGTCATCGAAGAAGCATACCAAGACCTCGACAAGAAGCAACAAAAGAGGACTATACAAGGAAACAACTGGACAGGAGAAACATGGTTCCAAGTGAAACGTGGAACAGTACTTCCAGGCAACATACCATCACCACCAACACTTCCACCAGCCAAAGAGCCAGCGACACCATCTCAACAAACCACAGTTGACCAACCACAAGCACCAATGTATCGACACAATGTGAAGAAGCCTCCCACAGAGGTAAGGCCAACAGGTCAAGCAATGACCACAACGCAGCCATATCAGACAGCAATTCCACATCCAAAGGAAGTCAGTCCAACGCAGGACTATTGGATCAAGGAAGGTCCATATTGGAAACGTGTGCATGTCCAACCAAGAAGGGACATGTACATTCCACAACAAACAGATGATGGACCAGACGTGACAAGACTGACAACATGGAGACAAACAATTGTGAAGCCAACAAGTGGCAACAGAGGATATAGAATAGATGATGACTGGACGACAAAGAGGAAAGCAACACTCGACATAGAGTGGACAGGCTCAACAAACTTTGAAGAAAACGCAGCATACAAAGATGAGTTCATCACAGATGAGCCAGAGGAGCAACAAGAAGCCAAGAGAGCAAAAGGAGTGCCAACACCACAACAACCAACAGAACAAGAAAGAAGAGAACACGAGCTCACACACCTTCCCTACAGAAGCTGGTGTCCAACATGCGTACAAAGCAAAGGAAGACAGGACAACCATCCAAAGCAAACAAGCAAAACACCAGTGATCCAAGTGGATCTGATGTACTACAAAGCATTAGGAGAAAAGCAAGCAACATCAGTCCTTACAGCAGTGGACGTTGAAACAGGCATGTGTATGGCAGTCCAACTTGAGGACAAGACGCAGCACGTACAATACCTGTCAGTTTGCCTTCAACAATTCCTCATGGAATGTGGCAGAACACATGCAATTCTCAACAACACCGTTCTTCAATCAGACCAGGAAGACTTTATCATCACCTTGCTCAAGATGGTGGCAACAGCCATGGGCAGCAACATAGCAGTCAGGCAAGCACCAGCCTACACATCACAAGCACAAGGAAGCGTTGAACGTTTCCACAGAACATTGATGGGCCAAGTCAGAGCTCTCAAACTCCAACTGGAGACCAACTATGGCATCAAGCTCAACAGCAAGCATCCCATCATGTCGTGGCTTGTCGAACACGCAGCATACCTGCTCAACAGGTATTCCATCCACTCAGATGGAAACACAAGCTACTATAGACGATGGGGTAAAGAACACAAAACACCAATATGTGAATTTGGTGAAACAGTTCTTTACATGCTACCAACAGCAAAGCAGATGCCAAAGATGGAAGCAAGGTTCTACCCAGCCATTTGGCTAGGTAAGGACAACTCAACAAACGAGAACATACTTGGCATCAGCAACAAAGTGGTCAAAGCAAGGACCATAAGAAGACAAATAAAGCCAGACAAGCACAACAAGCAGTTGATGGACATCATCAACTCTTCGCCAGCCATGATACCACCAACAACACCAAGCATTGTGGTACTACCACAAACTGCTGCAGCAAAGCAGCAGACAACAACAAGTACACAGACTCAGCAGAGTCCACAACCAAAAGCCTTGGTACAACCACACATTACACCACCACCAGCACTTACAGACCTTCCAATGGCAACAGCGCCAGCAACTCAGCCAGCAAGGCAGCCAATTCCATTGCCGACACAAGGCAAAAGAGAAGTAGCAGATGAGATTACACAAGGCAGCTCACCAAAGCAAGCAAGGACAACAGAAAGAGCCACAGCAGCCAGCCGACCTGACACCGCTCAGGAGCCACCAACAACAAGGATGAGGATCTCACAAGTCACAGTCACAACGAAGAAAGGACAGAAGATAGAAGCAACCTCCAACGAAGATGAACAGGAGATACAAGCTGAAAAGATTCTCCTGGAACCTTGGGTGAACAACACCGAAGGTTTAGACAAGGAACAAACAATAGAAGGAATGAAACAAGAAATCAAGTCAATGAAGGAACAAGGTGTATATACAGAAGTGCACATCAGCCAACTCACCCCAGAACAACGCAAGAAGATCATCAAGTCAAGATGGGTTCTTCGACAGAAAGGCAGCACAGTGCGAGCAAGGATAGTAGCAAAAGGATACACAGAGGAGATCAATGACAACGACGACATCTTCGCGTCAACACCAATCTTCTGCGTTCTGAGGATGCTACTCGTCTTAGCACTTTGCAACAACTGGATCTGCCTCACAGGAGACATCTCAACAGCCTTTCTACATGCCGCAGCAGCAACAGCAGATCTCTTTATGTATCCACCAGCAGAGTTCTACAACGCCTTCGATCAAATCGTTTGGCGACTCAACAAAGCCATCCATGGCTTACGCAGCAGCCCAAAAGCATGGCAAAATCACCTGGCAGAGGTGATGCAACAACTTGGACTACGACGACTTGTCAGCGAGCCCAACGTCTACGCAACACCACAGGGAGATGCATACATACTATGCTACGTCGACGACCTGCTCTTCATTGGACAACAGGAGACGGTTCACAAGCTGTTCAAAAGCATTCAGCAACACCTTCTACTCCGTCCAACAGGAGAACTCACAGTCGGCAACACCATCAGCTTTCTGGGTAGAAACATCTGCAACAAAGGTGACTACTACGAGATCAGCTTAGCAGACAGCTACACAACACAGCTGCTGGAAGAAGCCAGCATGCTCAACTGCAACTCAGCACCAGCACCAGGCAACAATACTCTGAAAGCAACATCAGAGATGGAACAAGAACTCAACAAAGAAGAACATGCAGCCTACCGAAGAATGGTTGGCAAGCTACAATGGATGACCTACACAAGGCCAGACATTGGCTTTGCAACAAAGGAGCTTGCAAGAGCTCTGACACAACCAACAACAGCAGACCAGCAGAAACTGAAACACTTGCTCAGGTACATCAAGGGAACACAACACTACAAACAATACATAAGACCAACAACCAAGACACCAACAGCTGAAGCAGTACCAGACATCCAAGTCTTTGTCGACAGCGACTGGGCAGGATGTGCAACAACGAGGAAGTCAACAACAGGATTTCTGATCAAAGTCTTTGGAGCAACAATCCACTACGGAAGCAGAACACAGGCAACAATAGCGCTGAGCAGCGCGGAAGCAGAACTCTATGCAATCAACACAGGAGCAACAGAAGCACTCCACATCAGCAACTTCATGAAAGAAGCTCTCAACATGAAGAAGATCAACATCCGCATACACACAGACTCATCAAGCGGAAAGAGCATGGCAACAAGAATCGGAGCATCAAAGAAAGCCAAACACATCGAGCTCAAGCACCTTTTTATACTACAACTGGTCGCACACGATCTTGTGAGGATTGTCAAGATCAACACGACCAACAACCCGGCCGACATTTTCACAAAGTACGTTGCAACAGAGACGCTTTTGCGTCACATCAGTGATGTTGGCATTAGCACCCAGCATCACTGAACAGACAACAACAACCAGCAACAGAAACAGTCTCACTGCAGCATATGCGCGTTAATGTGCGAGCGCGTGTACAACGTGCGAACATCGTGCGTGGCGTACACACACACAACATACATTTCCTTTTGAGCCATGGTGTCAACAAAGGTTGACAACATGAACTATGTCATAGTGATCACCTATACTTCATCATGGAGTATATCAACAATATCTGTACAATATCCCAACATGATTTTCGATATGGACTATACCAACGTTACGGTACCTACAACGTGAAGTATACGTACATGTCCTGTACAGCATGTCTGTGAAACACAACATGTCTTTTTTGCAAGGTTTGAAGAATTCAACAGTTTGACTTGCAGTCTTGTTGATGTCAACATTTTGCTGACCAACGGTGACCGCAACATTCCTCTGTTTTGATCGCAGCCGTTCTTTTGCTCCAACATTGGCGGACAACATCAACGTTTTTGACCTTGAGAATGGCAGCACTTCTCAACATCCATATGCAACAGTTCCGGTGATTCCCAAGATGACCATGACAACACTGGGACTCCTGACCCGTGCGGTCAACATGTCCCAAGTGTCCAATCCCACCAACATGGGCCGGACGATTACAACGTGGCAACCCATGATGCCGACAAGGATGTATGGTGGTTGGCATTGCCAACAGAACTGTTTGGGGCAATGACGCCTGAGAGATTGAGGGGCAACATGGCACTGCTCGAGCACATCAACAGCAACACAAATGTTGCGCGCTACATCGAGGAATTCAACAACTACCACGGCGCAACATCAATCAACAACCGATGATGATCAACAGATGGAAGGATGAGACGTCATCCAACAGGTGAGACTGGCACCTCAACCAGCAGTCTTTGGATCTTCAGCAGATCCCTGCGCAACAAGAGGTTCAAACGTGAGAGCCGGGAATGCGCAAAATTAGATGAGTGTTTGATCAACATCTGCGGCTGGGCAACAGATGTAAAACTACAAGCCATCAGCCCTGTACAGAGATCAACACCTAATCCAATAGTATCAACATAATGTGATTGCGTTTCAACAATGTTTGTTTTGTGCAATGTGTTGGAAGCTCCAACAAATTGAGGGGCCGTGTTAAGTAACAACATTGTCCAACACACAATTCGTGTACAGTTCAACAGCTGCTGGATGTCACTGTCAACATTATGGATCAACAGGCCTTGAGCCTGAGACTGTTTGCCAACAGCACAAAAGAGTGAGAGCGCACAGCATCAGCTGCAACATTGATTCAACAGAGCTGCCTGAATCTTTTCATATTTATATATATATATATACCATGAAACACCATCCATATTTGTACAATTCAGCCAGGTGATTTGAACATCTCAGGGAACTGCGATCACGTTCCAACCGACCACTGTTTGGATGGACGGTGGGTTTTGTTGATTCCTAGGTGGATGGGAAACTGACTCCGAGATCAGCCCGGTCACATAGATATACGCAACAAATCGCAACAAGCAGAAGATCAGAAGTACCATCAGACACACACTGATTTCGGATGATTTTAGATGTTCTTTCGGCAAACATTGATGAGTTCCAAAGTTTGAGCCAACAGTCGATCCTTCAGGGACCGAGTAAATCTCAGTATCTCAGGTGAGTTGGAGAGGTGGCGATCCCTAGAGGAGAACTGCAGGACGTGGTGATGCCACACATCACCTGGCAAAACGGCAGGAGATGGCAAAGCTGCGATGTGAAAAGAGGCCAGGCCCAATATATTTATCTATGTATATACACATGATTCATATTGATTCATGATAATGAACAAGAATGGGGACATATATAATGAATTATAATGAGATATAATGGGATATACAACCAAACACATCATATTTTTATGATTTGGGCGCGCCTGAGACTGGGGTGTGCCCCACATGGCCATTTTAGGATGGAAAATGATCATTAACCGGTGGATGGAATGGGGTACCCTATTTTCAGACAAACCTAAATCGTAGATATGACACACAACTGTGGTTTTTGAGCTCAGAACTGTGCACAGCAGGGCTGCAAGGATGTAGGAGTTTGTAGGATTTCTGTGAAATCTGCGATTTGCTTGTAAGACTTGTTCCGTGGTGACATGATTGATCATGGCTGATGAGCGGAACTGTTGGGCTAGAGGCGTGAAGCAAGCAAATTGGAGAAGCTGGAAAAGCGCTTGCGCAGCACCTAGCGCTACTTGAATGGGGCTGGAAGTGACAAGCTGGCTACGTCTTTTCATCAAGGGAATCCATCTCAGCACACCTCTATGTTCAATCCTTTAGTCTCCCTCATCCCGAAAAACATTAGAAAAACATGAAACACATTGAATAACAGTTCCCTTCTTGAACCCACCACTTTCCATGTGATCCCTGTCCTTTGCCGCTGAGTCGAGGCATTTGGTTTCTACCAGCTGCGTTGAGGCAGCAGCATTTGCCAACTCAGCTTGTGCACGCCATGATGGCTCATAGTTCATCCGTGGAGGCTCAGAGTCAGTTGGCCGGCTTGAAAAGAGAGCGTGACTTGCTGAAGGACTGCCTGGGGCCCAGGCCAAGAGCGGTTTGAACATTTCATTTGGGTAAAGCAGGTGGACCTGGCTCAACCTAGGTGTCCAAGAACTGCTGGTGCTTACTCAACCGCCTCAACCTCAGTGCTTTCACCAAGGATTTCAGGTTGTTCAAAAATCTCTCAGATCGAGTCTTTTGCACCAAGGGGATCGAAAGCTTTGTCGCGTTCCGAGGCAGGGTGTGTGGTAGTTGACGGCTGGCCGTCACAGCTTTTTTTGTGACAGTTGCCATCCTCCATCCACTTGTTTTGATGCAAGGTGGTTGCAAGCCGGGTGCCCAAGCTGTGCGGTCGTGGGGACCATTGCCCACATTTGGATCAAAACCATATCATCCCCCCAACAAAAATCCCCAAAAATGGATGGCTCAATCCCAAAAAAACGACCATTTTTTTGTGGGTCCATTGGTACACCGTTTTTGACGCATTCCCCACCTTTCGTTGGACAATTTCAGGCCCTGGACGGCAAAGATCTCCAGAGGTGTCGGCCAAAGGTGCCACATCCCTGGGTCCGCCAGTGTGGAGCTCAACAGACAGTGTTTGAAAAGGGGGCCTTGGAAAATATGGAGGTTTCCTGAAATAGGGGTACCCCCAAATCATTTATTTTAGGAGAAATTTCCATGAAATAAACCATCCAGCTATTGGGGTACCACCATTTTAGGAAACTCCCATATATGAATATGTCATGTGTAATATGCCATGTCTTGGTTTGGAATATGTTTTAAAGTCACTTGAAGTCACGGCCATTTCTGGTTGCTGGAAGAGCGCATTGGGTCTATTCTATCACAATCTTAATGTCAGTGCAGCCAAGGTGGCACGTACTCCGCAAGGAATCGCGGCTAAAAAAGGTCACATTGTATCATTGTGTCATGCGACAACAAGGCAGCCTCTTGGTCTTTTGAATCCAGTGACGCATAGCATAGATGATGCAGTGATGCCCCAACTTAGAATATCGGCAAGTCATGGCATCATGGCAAGTCAACTTGCGATTTGATCGCAGGAGCCACTCCACGCTCGGCAAGGCCAATGAGCTGATCTCTTTGGGAATGAAAACGGTATATTTATACTAAGTTTAGGGGTTTCCATAAATGGGGGTACCCCAATAGCTGGATGGTTTATAATGGAAAATCCTATAAACATTGATGATTTAGGGGTACCCGGTACCCCTATTTCAGGAAACCTCCCTTCGGAGTCTTATTCCCCGTGGGAAGGAGTGGTGGTGCAGCTACTCCCAATGTTAGGGCCTCGAGCTTGCTGTGAAGGTGTCAAAATGGGGTACCCCCAAATGGGATGGTCAATAGTTGGATGGTCAATGCTCATGTTCACGATTGGTACTGCCCATAATTAGATGTTTACCCCTAGAATTTGGTGCTTGATGCAAACATATGACAACAAACATATGACAAACCTCAATCTTGAACCAAACCCTTTTGAGTCGAGGTATTGACGGTCCCCAGCCGTCGGGTTCGCTTTGATGACAAGCTCATGGAGCCGAGGGGAGGGTATAGTGCTTGTGTGACGAGAAAGGAAACCCACAGCGAACTTCTGTATGTTGGCTGTTTCCATTTCCAGATTGGGAACCAAAGAGTGCACACGTCATCAATCGATTCATTTAATTAATGGGGAGTTATATACCCATTGTCAGGATTCTGATTATTGGATGGATGACAACATAAATACACACATGACATAAACTATATATATACACATAAACCTTACTTTAATGCGGTAAACAATATGACATAAACTATACATAAACTAGAACAGAAACCATTATTGTTGGGTTGTCTACATTAACCCATAGGAATCCCATGTTGCAGTTCAGGAGTCACCACGTGAGCCTCGTGTTCCATTGCCTGCAGGGCAGGTTTGGCTCGGAGCCCCTGGACATTTCCAGCTCTTTTCCACCAGGTGTTGTGATGTTTTCTGATGGAAAAAACTGTGGCTGAAATCAGGCACTATGTGCCCATCCTGAAGCATCTCCCAGCAGAACCTGTGACGCAGCAGGTCAGTCAGCTGCTGGAAAACTCGAGTGAACTGCCGAACGGCTCGTCACGTGAGGAGCCAACGGCAGTAGCTGGAGAACATCCAGGCAGTGCCAGGACGGATTGGGGCAGCCGGAGATCCTGGGTGGATCCGCGTTGTTTTTTGGTGCCTTTGTCATCCTTTGTCAATTTGCTGTGCCAACTTTAGCCATGGGAAGAAGGATCAAACACCGAAGCCTTCGGAGTGAATGCTGACAGGAGGTCGCGGTCACCCACACCTTCTGCACAGAGCGACAATGGCGAGGTTGGGAGAAATGCCAGAAGTGTTTGAAATCTATTTAAGATCAACTGGCGCCGGATCCTATTTGCCATGGATCCTTTTGACCTTTTGGATCCCTCTGAATTCTCTGGAGTCAGGCTCTTCCAACAATGGACTCAGCACGCCTTGCGCAAGCGACACAGCCTCAGAGTAAGATGAGTCAAGCAGCATTCATTGAGCAGTGGCTGCTAAACTCCTGTTGATTGATGATGATATGGGGTTCTACTATCCAATACATTGCTGAGTATCCTGCATTCATCATGATTTGAACAGTGCAAATAGATGCAAATAGTCATTTGTGGATGTGAAAGCGAAACTGCACAGTTGACAAGTCAAGAAAACCTTTCTAACTCTTGTTGAGGTCAGGGGAGCCTGTGGTCAGGTTCGCACCATTGCAGCACGTTTGCTGATGGCCATCCCACTTACTTACTGCCTTGTGTGCCTCAACACCTGCCAAGCCCGAAGGCAAGATGCATCCTGCGGCCAGGTGCAGTTGTGGCCCGGCCGCAGTGGACTATTGGATGGATAAGGCATGGTAAAGCAACCCCATTCCCTCGAAATACAGCAGTTGGTTCAATATATATAGCTGCCAGGTTGAATGACAGATATCCAGAGTTATGGCTTGCTGATCCGCAACATCCTCATTGCTTTTGCTCCTTCAAGCCCCACACACTAACTTAATAACGCTGGTCTTCACAGTCGTTGGGCCCCTACATGCCCCTACTTATCAATGGGATTCCACATACCTCAGATACCCCAATCACATCCAATCACTGGGGTTTTCCCATGGTTTTCCCCTTGGAAAAATGGTATCCCCCGAGGCCCCGCTGGGCCGCGGCCTCTCCTCCGGCCGCGCCGCAGCTGATCCACGTGGCGTCGGCGCCGCGGCTGGTGCAGGGGCCAGGCCGAAATTGCAGTGGTGGATGGATTTTTCATGTTTTTTCATGGATTTTTGGATGCAGTGTTCATTATTTTATCGACTTTTTGATGGAATTTGATTGATTTTGATGGATTCTTTTTCCATTTTTTTCTCGGGGGATGGGAAGCTGCCCTCATATGAGTCAAGGTCAATTGAGGTTTTGAAAACTCGAACGTCTTGAATCGAAGCCACAGTGGCTGAAAGAAACTGAGAGGACAACCAGTCCCAGCAGTTCAGCCGTGGATTCTTCGACAGTCGGGGGCCTTTCAAGGTCTTCACAACCAGTTCCAAGCTCGCAGCAGAAATCTTGGCAAACTATGGTGGTCTAATATCAACTGATCACCCAACGCTCCAAGGCCCATAACGCAGATGGTGCCGCGACCAGCCGCTCCGGCAACTTGGTGGCTGATTCATGGCAAAACCAATGGATTTTCATGGATTTTCGGCACCCGTATTCTAGCACCCAAAATGTAAAATACTCCATAGAAACATCATGAAACATCTAGAAATCTTTGGTTTGGTGTTGAAGCTGTTCATTTTTTGGGGGTAAAAGTAGCCAATCATTGGCAGATGCTGCATCCTTACCAGCTTCGAAGGTGACCGTGCGGCGAGTGGTCCAAAGATCCTGATGTGACGAGATAGCGAGGGGGAAAAAAGACCAGGCTGCAGATTTGAGCAGCGAAATGACAGTGGCTTTATCCGAAAAAATCGAGTACCCAAAAGGGGCAATTGAAGAATTCACCAGTGGTTCACCAGTGGATCATAGAATATACACCGTTTTGGACAAGCCTATTTGGCAGATATTCGCAAAAAGCATTTGATGAGTTTTAGGGCTCCAACTTGCGTTCAGATTGATCACTTGCTGTGGGGTTCATGACACCACCTGCCGACGGTTCAAGTGGACATGAGACATGGAACTGGACCGGCACCTCTTGGACCCATCTGGACCCAGCACAACGCTTCGCCACAGCACAGCATGCAGCACATGCACTGGGCACATGCACAACTGGGGATCACGGGATCATCGGAGCATCGAAACCCGACTTTTGCCGACTTTAGCTCTCCGCTGTAGCAAGCGTCTCCAAGCGGGGGCGATACATCAAGATACGATCCCAGGCCGTGGAAACATCGCTTTCAAGAAAGCTATGGCAGCTATGGAAGCTATGGAAGCTGAGATTTGATCTGAGAAATTCCATGTAAATTCCATGTGATTGGTCGACTTGATTTCTATTTCGTGCTCTGAATCTTTGTGCTCCGCAGGTGATGTTTGCTTGAGTTTCCAGGCTGCAATAGGCGCCGGAAAAGAGGCACCTACCCTACCAGTCGACCATCCTCTGTCCTCACTGGATGGGTTACCAACTCCAACCTGGCGATAGAACATCCAAGGACGGCCTGTGATGCCGACGCCATGTTCTGTGAGGCGCTGGGCATAGGTTGCTCTGTGGATTATGTTTAAAAACATGTAAAAACATGTAAAAACGACGAAACCTTTTACTCGAATTCAATGCCATTATTTTAGTTTATGATTACTGTATCAACTAATTATATCAACAAATCATATCAATCATATTTCAACATATCAACTATGTCATTGATATACAATGAACACAATGAGTTTTTCCATCTCTGCCAGCATGTGCCAGGTCTATGGCCAGTGAGCGCACCGATGAGGCCGAAAAACAAGCCCCAGATCCAATGGTTTTATCATCAATTTCCTGATGAAGACAGCCATGAAGACAGCCATTTGGGGGTATACCCTGGTATAGTTGGCGAAAAACTTGAACAAACACGTTTTTTTTTAAACAAACACATATAGTTGGTGAAAAAGAGCACCTTTGCTGATCAGGACTCTGAGTGGGGCTCCACGGTGAGGGACGTGAAGGCGAAGCCTTCTACCAGAGTTATCATGTGGGCCAAGCCTGTGTGCTGGCCGACAACCCGACCAGTTCAAGCATTGAATCCATTCATTTTTTTCCTTTAAATGTCTTAAATCCATACATCCGTAATGAAAGCATCCATAGAAGTGCTTCTGCTTCCACACCTCTTTTGTCAGGCTGTTGTGGACTGATACTAGAGTTACTATAGCCTTGCCAAAGCCGTTTTACCGGATCAAGAGCCGTAACAGCAAAAGACAAAGGCCATGCCTGGGCCATGCCTGATTCAAAAGAGACTGCGCTGGAAAGCCTGTAGCTGAAGCAAACGACTCAACTCCCAAACCTGCCACAGTGATTTCCAATTTGTAAGTTTCATTCTCAATGGCATTGATTTGTAAACCTATACAATTATTATAATATATTATATACATTGTTACAATTGCGTATGCGTTTTTTGCCATTGGTTGGTTCATCCATTCTCCCATTCCACAGAAATTCCACATTGTACTTCATGGAGAGCCATGCAGACTGCGGGGCATGCGGCCTTGCCCGCTAGGTCTATGTTCTCCCCTTAGTTTGGAAATGACACAGCACTGGATGGAGCTTCAAAGACCAGTGGATGTCGTTTCGCATCTGAGGCCTGGATTCGGACTTGAAGACAGCTCTGAATCGAGGTCACTTGGGATGAACTAGTCATCAATTTTTTGGGGAGAAAGATTGAGACCATTTTGATTTTATTTGGTTCTTGTTGAAAGCCATGTGTTTGGAGTAGTTTTTTTTGGATCCATATCCATATCCAACCGGTGAAAATCCTGCAGGCTATCAGAACCTTGGTGGGGATCCAGCTGGTGGGATCCCGTGGGCTGCTTCTCGGTCAAACACACGCGTTGCTTGCTGGCGGTGGTATCAGGCGGGGCGACCGCGGCTGCTGTTGTGATTCGGTCCCAGCAACGGCAATGGCTAGAGATACTACAACGCTGGCAATTATCAGGATCCCTGATTTGTGTCTAGATTCTAGATGGATCCCAGTTTGAAAAAAACATGATTTGAAGAGGATTCCTTCCACGTTTCATCATTTTCCATGGCCAGCTTTGCATCTCCCCGCAGTCGCCGCGAGGCGTCTTGGCCAAAAAGCCGCGCAGCCGGCGGAAGCTGCTGCGCCGAGCGCGGCAAACGGCGGAGACCTTGCAGAACACCGACGTGGACGACGTGAAGGAGCTGCGGTGACTTGGTCCGCTCTGGGAAGCTCTTGGTCTATGGGGGGTTGATGGGTTAACTTTGGTCATTGATGATGGATGAGTCATCAGATGAATTATAGGTTTCCCAGAATTGGGAAGAATTGATTGATGTTTGGAGGACATGTACATATTTTGGTTGATACAATCCATGCTTTCCAGAGGATTATCCGTGAAACCAAGCGAAGGACTACTGAAGGACAGGGGGAGGGAACAACTAGGGAACAGCAAAACTAGCCGGCTGCTGGTTGCCACATGACTGGACCCATGGACACTGTCGCATGCGAGGCAGCTTTTCCGCTCTACTACTGCCGCTGACAATATTCTATCGAAAGACGATTTCGTCAAACTGTGCCAGTGCCTCGCTGTGCTTTATTTTTTTTTTCCGCAGACGAAAAAAAAGGACACTCTGACTTGACGTCTTCTGGAAGCTCACATTGACATAGATTCCTCTGTGTCTCCAGGCAATGGTTGTGGGGATTTTGCACGTGTTTCGAGGTGTAGTCTAATTATTCGTCCACCTCTACGGAAAGATCCGATGTCTTTACTTCTCCTGCCATCCCTGCCAATGTTAGTTCCCGAAAGATTCATAGATTCATAACATTTCATAACTTCACTTGGCTCAGCAAACTCTCAGATCGCTATTACACATTGACCTTACTTTTCGAGAGCTGGAACGGATCTTTGACATCGTGGTCATCGACGTCCCTTGGCCTCGGGTATGGAGCAGTGCTCAAAACTGTTGGTTGATGATTGTAGGGGGTTACTCACTCTCCAATATATTAATATATATATATATTAATATATAAAAATACGCATTTTATGCTGTAAATAACAATACAAATGACACATTGGGGGGTCGTAGGGGGGGGGTAACCATATATATATATATTAGAGTCTAGGAGTCTAGAGATTACTATCATCAATTTTCCATCAATTCCGAAAAACCAAGTGAAATGGAACAATACAAGTTTCGAGCACTGCTCAATTTTTTTGTTCATCCTCTCTGTTCAACAGAAACAGTTGTCAATCGATGTGACATCTGAGGAGGACCACCATTTCATGACGGAGGATGTATTCATTCGCACCATCCGAAACCGCTTCTTTTTACGAGGAATCCGACGGGTGGTACAGCTTCCAAGCGCACACAGCTGGAAGCCGCCGAAGGGATACAGCTTTGATGTGGACACAGCAAGAAATCACTTTTGTGACACTGAAAAACCGCTTGGTACTTTTTGTTTGGCACAAGACGCCGTCTGTTTACGTTTGCCTTTGTATTTTTTTTGATTTAGCTTTTCGATTCTGATGTGACCTTGGCTGGATTTTCCTTGCGATCCATAGATGCCATAGACTTCCAAGTGGCTTCCATACTGAAGGGCAGCTTCAATTTTGCCAAGGAAAATGCAGAGTTCATTGGTCCTTATGCAGACATCAGAGCCTCTCGCTTGCGTCAAAAGTGAGTTCTGGAAAGTGCAGTGCAATTTGCTTGGCCCACTCTCCCCTGCAATAGGGTTGATGATTTAAATATGGATATACCATTACCTTAGAATACTCAACTCACAGCTTATACCAGCAAGAGCTTCAGAGTTTATCATTTACATTACTTCTTTTTTTGTTTCCATTTTAAAGCTGCAACTAAAGATTAAAAGCGACACGCTGATCGACGTATCAGCGTGCTGTCTTTTCTATTTTCCGAAATTGAACAGGCTCCCGTCTCTCAATCGGGCGTCGCTGCACAATTTCATGCCTCACACATGTTGAACCAAGCACGAATCATATCTTGTATCTTACAACCGAGATTCAGTAAACATGTGTGGTAAAATGTCTTTGCACAACAGACCAAACAGACCAAACTGTGATGCACGCTGATGGGAATCACCGCTCCTTTTTAGCATCACAGTTTCATGTTTCACAGCTGAGGCAACTCGAGACCATTCTTTTCACGGCCGATATTCCGAGGAACGGCAACGTTGGCAAGATAGTGTCATTGCGACGGTCGTTCAAAGAACGACGGAACAAGCACGACCCAGACTGGTTTTCACCTGTGGAGCCATGGGGGTTGGAAAAGGCTTCGCCTTAAGCTGGATGTCGGCTCGGGATATCTTCCCACTGGAAGACATCGTTCACATTGATCCAGACCATTTCAAAGCAGTGATGCCCGAGTGGTCCGCATATGTGGCGTATGGGAAGAAGATGAAAGACCCAGATATCCCGGGGAACCAATGCCATCGCGAGAGTTGCTACATGCAAGAAATCGCCCTTGAGGAATCCCTGAAGCGACAGCAGCACATCTGGGTGGATGGCTCCCTGAGTGACTCGACATCTGAGATGTGTTTGGATGGGTGATCACTTGACACAGCTTGACTTTGTTTAATCTTAGTGTGCCAGACGAGATGTGTTTTTTGGGGGAGGCATTTTGGACAGAGAATTGAACGACAATCCAACTTAGCACCATTCGACCATTCGAAACGGAGGTAACGCGGAGTGGTTTGTGAAGGTCTTCAGCGAGATCCGAGAGCGATACCCTGCTTATCAAATTGCAATTTTCAAGATCTCTGCGCCGGCTCAGGGCTCAGTTGGTTACCAATGGTCACACAGGTTGCAGAAATGCAATATGTGGAATGATTGGAATGCAACTACAGATACGCTACGCCACATGTGTGGCCGCATTCATCAAGATGCATCAAAGACATGAAACCACACAACCTGTTGGAGTTGCGCAGGAGGAGGTCATTCGCGCCCGGGTGGAGAAAAGAGCCAAACACACTGGACGCAGTATCCCAGAAGACAAATTAAAGGCAAGCATTGCAGCGGTTGAAAGGTGCGGGGTTGAAAAATGTTGCAGTGGCCGTGGAATGTTTGACAATCACTTACGGAGCATTGACATGCATTTTCATTCTGATTTCTGCTAAGTGAAACAAATCCTGATCGCAAATGTGCCAGCTTTGTTTTTTGCACCTTGGCCGCCCAAAACTGTTATTGTTTTTTTGGCAGATGTTCTTACTGGGGTTATCCCTTTGCTGTACTAGCGATAATAAACCATCTTCAAAATCACCACTTCTATGGGTGGTTTTTGACCCCATCCCCAAAAATTCTAGTTGTTTTTCATGTTGTTTTTTCATGTTGTTTATGGCATTGGTTTCTCAACAGGTCGGTGCTGACCTTGATGCCTTATGCAGACTTCCTTGCCACCATCGACAACTCGACCAGCACGCCGCATCTCTCGTACTTTGCTGCGATCGACCGCTCGGGGTCCTGGCAGAGGATCACTGCGCGATTTGCCCACACCCTGCCAGGTGCTGTGCAAAAAAGAAAGTTCACCAAAAACGAAACCGCCGATGTGTAGGGGATACCAATTTGAATATTTTGAATAGCATTCTTTGACTATAGTTTCGGAAGGAACAGTTTGAAGATGTTGAAGTAGAATGGAGGGTAAATGGTTGAAGGGGCAAAGATACTTTGCCTCAGTGTTTCTCATCGTTTGGTAGTTTTTGTGCCAATGGACCAAGAAGGTGTAGACGCTTTTCCCGATGCTTTGTCTCCCTTCTTCCTGCTGCGTGTGGAAAAGTGCCCAGTGCTGGAGATGCGTAGCAGCTTGCGGTGCCGTGTCGATGGAGAGGTCGAAAGCCAGTTTGGGTTGCTAACCCTGAAGGACTTGCAAGTTGAAGTCACGCTTTCTCCTGTGATCAGGCTGACACTGGATCCTGAAACGCGAAGGATCGCGCACATTCATGAAAGAGCTGTGGGTGTAGCCTTCATGTACCCCATGGAGACGGAAGATCTGGATATGGGGCAGCTTACAGTGCCCGAGCAGGCGGCTCTGAAGAATGGGGCCTTTGCCATGTTCAGTTTCTTTTCGGCAGAGATTTTTGTTTTGTTTGTTAGATCACTTTGATTTCCAATTTGGGCTCAGAGTTCAATAGATTTTATACCGTCCATGTTGAATATTTGAATGGCTTTGAAATCTCCGGTACAACATTAGTAGAGTCCTGCTAGCTTTCGTACCTTCCCCCTGGCCTCAAGTTTTATACCCTCCATATTGAATATTTGGATGGCTTTGAAACTTGTGCAGTCCAAATGTTCTAGGTTTGTTCATGATACATTTCGATCAAACTCATGGCGGTCAAGGCCATGTTGATTCCATTTTCATTTTCTTCCCTAATGGATTATCATGTCACACCACTGTAATTAGATGGTCCGAGGTTACTTTTTCATACTTTTTCAGGCCGAAAGAAATTTGGTCCACGCACAGTTTTGCATTGTGTTTTGGTGGTTAAACGGTTAAACAAACACCAGCTTTTTGGCGCATTTGTGGTGGGTCAAATTCAATTGTGGGTTGTTGAAGGAAGTGTCGAACCTCGGTTTTCCCGGCTAAACCATCATTTTTGTTTGTTAAGAAATGTTAAACCTCCACTTTTTGCTGGTGAAACATGGTGAAACCATGATTTCCGTCATTTTTGTTGGCCCTCAGTTGGGATCGTTTGGACTTTGAGGTTTGAGTGATCAGCTGGTGGCCCTGAATGCCGTGTCCAGCACCAACAACGCGCCGGAGCCCAAGATGTTGGAGTTCGGCCCCGCGACGGTGGTGACCCCGGAGGAGGCCATGGATATGGATCCCAGTCGCTGGGCCAAGGTCAAGATGCCACATATCAAGGAGAGGGGGATGGGTGGATGGGATGGAGACGGGGATGGCAATGGCAACAGATGGCCAAAGTCAAAGTGTATTTTAAAGCGGGCCATGGCTGGCCCAGTAAGCCCTGCAAAAAAATCCTGTTGTGAGAAGGGATTCCTTAATGCTCTGCTAGCTGCATGTTTAGAAGGCTATTAAGACGCGATCCGTCCCTGTCGGTCCAAGTCCTCGTTAAACTAAGCCCTTAGGACTGAGGTTTTCTATGGTTTTCTCTATGTGATTCTTATTGAGATCGTATTTTTGTGAGACTTAGCCGAGCAAGGTCCCACCCCCAAAAATATCCCATGCTTGAAAAATCGAGGGCGCGCCTTCGAGATTTGAGAAAATAGTGACACTGTTAAAAACCGTGAAAAGGCAATGAAAAACAGTGAAAACCCTGTGAAAAGGCCGTTAAAAGACCGCAAAATCAGGTTTGTGCAAACCGGACCAAAAAAACAGGTTTTTGCGATTTTGCTACAACATTGAGTGTTCCCGCTGTATGTGACTACTGTTGGTCTTACGGTGCGAAATTTCGCATCTTTTTAAGGTATGAGTTTTTGAGGCCTTTAGTCATTTAGGTCCTTATTCAAACGGCCGCGTTAAACTCGTCCTTTGGACTGACTGGGCGTGATATTTTGGCGTAATTTGGCAGGTGACAAATGAATCTTCATAAGAGATATAAGAGGCATTGCTGCCCAACACATGGGTTCCGTGAAGTTTGCGAAAGTTCCGCGAAAGTAACATTTTTATTCGCGAATAATGGCCATTCCTGGATAAAGGAATTTTGATCAACAACCATACAGTATACAAACATATATTATATATTATGTATAATATAATATTACAGCAACATCAAAAATACAATAATATAGTATATGTATTATATATAGAATGGGCTAGCGCCCTGGTGCCGCCGACCCTCTATTTGGGGGGTCCTGTAGAGAGAGGGAGAGAGAGAGGGAGAGAGAGAGAGAGAGGGAGAAAGAAAGAAAGAAAGAAAGAAAGAAAGAAAGAAAGAAAGAAAGAAAGAAAGACAGAAAGAAAGAAAGACAGAAAGAAAGAAAGACAGAAAGAAAGAAAGACAGAAAGAAAGAAAGACAGAAAGAAAGACAGAAAGAAAGAAAGAAAGAAAGAAAGATAGATAGATAGATAGATAGATCGATACATAGAGAGATAGATAGATACAGAGAGAGAGAGATAGATAGATAGATAGATAGATAGATAGACAGATAGACAGATAGACAGACAGACAGACAGACAGATAGACAGATAGACAGATAGACAGACAGACAGACAGACAGATAGACAGATAGACAGATAGACAGACAGACAGAGAGACAGACAGACAGACAGACAGACAGACAGACAGACAGACAGACAGATAGATAGATCGATGGATAGATAGATAGATAGATAGATAAATAGATAGACAGACAGATAGATAGATAGATAGAATACACCCATGTTACACCCATCGGAGCACCGTAGATCCATCGGAGCACCGTAGATTTTGGCGCTTCTTTAGGGATCGACCCAGACCATGTTAGATATCTGATAATGATATGTGTAGATTCTGTTTTCGAGACTCACAGATCTAAATTCTCCATTCCTTCGCACATTGGAGAACTGCTCGGGCGGAGAACCACCTCAAGGTCTGAGGCAAACCTACGAGGACCACACAGATGAAGAGAGGTCAGAATACATTGTATATAGTAACCCCCAGAAAAATAGAGAAATATATGAATTCCGGTGGCACATTGTTTTTCTATTTGCTTTGAAGGTTTATACTCATACTTTTAAGGTTTTTAAGGGTTTGGAGGGTTTGGAGGGTTTGGAGGGTTTTAAGGGTTTAAGGGCTGGCAAACGGCAGGCTTGGACGCCCATAAGAAGCCATTGATGTGTGGCCTTGGGGTGCCTGTTGGCTGCAGGAGGAAGCATGCCAAGGGATTGTTTAAGCGGCCCATAAGAAGCCATTGATGTGTGGCCTTGGGGTGGCTGTTGGCTGCAGGATGAAGCATGCCAAGTAAGCGTTTTAAGGGTTTTAATGTTTTTAAGGGTTTTAAGCGTTTGAAGGGTTTTAAGGGTTTAAGGGTTTAAGGGCTGGCAAACGGCAAGGTTGGACGCCCATAAGAAGCCATTGATGTGTAGCCTTGGGGTGCCTGTTGGCTGCAGGAT